AATTAATTAATTATAATTTTAGAATCAGACATAGTGAAAAATCTATAGATTTTATTAATTTTATAATTACTTTTTTTTTGGAATGTAAATAGTTATTAGATTTGTTTTTATAAAATTTAAGCTTGCATTTTGTAAAGTGTACACCACGTGTATTTTGAACACTTAGTGTTTAAATATTAATAGTAATTAATAATTTGGCACAAAACCACTTTAATTTTCAGTTTTTATAAAGATAAATAATTATCATTCAAGTTAGCAACTTCAACGGGTTTGTTAAACAACGACTTCAGTGTCGCAAAAATGACGCAACACTATAAAAAGTTGTGAAGTGTTAGACTATATGGCATTGTACAGTGTTTTGGTGATTGAACAAAATGTCTTACTATGCTACATATTCTAAAATTTTAAGAAATATTTAATTATCTACATTGAAGTTTTTTAAAAACCATTTTGTATTTTTAAAACAGATTATGAAGTTTATGGCACATGTCATATTATAAAAGTGATTAATTATAACTATAAATTCATAATCGATAAAAATGTTTAATATATGATACTAACAATTTTAATATATATATATATATATATACATGTAAATAAAATAATTATTTATTTAGTCTTTGTTTAAATTTCAGAAAATATTATATGTCCACTTTGAAGTATAATATAAAAATAAATTAAAATTAGGACAATATTATAAAAGTATTATTAAAATTAAATATTATTGGACGTTTACTGTTATTATTTTTTTAATATTGTTACCTTTTCAATCTCATAATTTTAATAATATGTAATGTAATATATATCAAAGTTTTCTTGGTTTATACATAAGTCATGTCATGATGCGAATAAATAAAAATATAAATCACTCTTGTTTAGCGAATAATCGCATTTATTAATCGTAAGCATGTATAATTTAACCGTCTTATAAGAATGGGACACTTTCAATTTGATGAATAGTATCTGTTCTCAATATATGAATAATATATCCTAATAAATGTCAAAATATTAATGTGATAGTTGTGGCTGGAAAACAGTTGTTCGATTAGAGAATAGTTAACTGAAATCATATTATTTAGTTTCTCCATAATTTAATCGCTTTGTTTTCATTATTCCGTAGTTCAAACATATTCTTAATTCTTAATCATAAAAAATGCATCTGTGTACAAAACAAATGAATGCGTTACCCACGTAAACATGTCTTAGATAGATGTGTATTGATATTGTTTTTACTAGAAAAACAATTGCTTGTCAATAAACGACATCCTCATATAAATATCTCTAGTTAATATTAAGTAAAAACTTTGTATAGTTTCGAATATTTTAGAGATTATATTTCTGTAACCAATTAAATTTTACATAAAAACGACATTAAGTTTAAAATAATTCAAATTTTTACTATATTATATTAAACAAACAAATCATAATAAATACAAAATAAATTGACCACGTACATTAAATACCTTTTTTAATTTCCTAGTATATAAAATATGATATAGTTGTAATATTATGTATCTCTCGAACAGATGCTCAGCTATACTTAATAATAACGGTCGTGATTTGTAATAATGCTATTAATTATTATATATTATACACAAATTACATAATATATACATTTTTTAAAATTATTTTATGAACTTCATGACTTTATGCGATTAATTCGTTTGTTACCCATAGATTTATTATAAAATTACACTGAATGTGTGTTATCAATCAATGTCGTTCAAACGTAATAAATGTGTAGAACTTAGGACTTAGGTAATATGAACTACAATTTGACTGACCATATGAATGATATAATACGAGTATTATAATGTAAATATTAATGTAATTTGTTTTTTTATTATTATTTATCATCAAATAATGTTCAAATATGTTAGTAAATATTAAAAGCTGCAATTTATTTTACTACATTTGGTAAAAAAATTCAGTGAGCAATAATATTAAAAATGATAGTTAATCCGTTGAAAGTTATACTTTATGTACAGTGCTTTGGGCAGAAACTTTGCAAGATGGTAAATAGGTTTTTTTAGATATACTTTGATAACAATATAATATAGTTTATACTAATGCCTTTATATATATTTAAGAATCTTCTTTTAATTATTAATACTCACTATATCATGTATTTATGTGTATCAAAAGTATTGGTGTTTTGTAAATGTATATTTTTCGTGACTGTCACTCATAATAAAACAACATTTTTGTAAAAATGGATATTTTTTTATTGGTATAATTTTTATGTTTTTTCATTTTTTAAATGACAGCATATTAAATTTTGTATTCGAAATCAGAATATGTTTTTGTAAAAATGTCTATATCTCAAAATTCAATTTCTAACGAGCAATAAATTTGTTATGAGTTTATATTTACTATAACGTTTAGACGTTCGGAGTGGTTGATAGTTTTTTAGATTTTGGTAATCTAAGTTTTGTTATAACTTTTACAAAAAATTTACTACTTATACAAAATTTTATTTTTATAATCGAAATTCCTGGAAGATAGTCTGCTTCGAAATATGAATTTTTTTATTACAAAAGAAATTGTATTATAATTTGTATTTATAGTAATACAATAAGAAAATTACATTAAATGAAAATAAAAATAAATAGAAGGACAGAAGAGGAGAAGACCCATTAACATTTCGTAAGCATAATATTATTTAAAAAATATTTTAATGTTTTCAAGCTATGAACCTAAATGTTAGACTTTTTGGTTTTTTTCAACTTATGTTGATGGGTACATTTTTTTTCTAAGCCAAAAATCTTGACTATTTATTTCATGGTTCTTTATCAGTTGTTGTTGTAGAATTTAAAAATCTTAAAATCAAAATTTTTCTATAAACCTTTGAAATTCAAATTTAGACAAAATGTGTAAAAATCTGAATGTTTAAAAAGTATTTTGTAGTAGCAGTCTATAATGTTTGAAATTAGATATTTAAAATGTTAAACGTAAAATGTCTTAAACGGTTTTTGGTATTTTATTAGAAGAAATTTCAAAAAGTATTAATCACTATAACTTAAATTATCATTTTCTATACATAAGTATAGGTACTGTAATATATTGTTGTATTTATATAAAAATTTATGCTAGCTAAATAGTATTAAAAATTATTACAAGTCCCCCCTCAAATTGCTCATATAGGCATAAATGTACAGACATCGGAAATACTTTATCACAAACCTTTTACTAGGTGAAGTTAATTTTTTTACAAAATTCTTCGAAATCACGAAAGTAGGTACCTATGTAAATTACTGTATAGTTTAAAATGTTTTGGTAAAGTTTTTTTTTTACAGAAATTTGTATGAAATTGAATATTTAAACAAAAAAAAGTGATATTAATTATTTTGCCGTGGGCAATTAAAAAAAACTCGAAACTTTTTTTTTTCTCCTCCACATTTTCAATGCACATTTAACTTTTTAAGTATTTAGACAAATTTCAAACTGTTTTTACTACGAAACTATTCACACTGTTATTGAGCTGTATTGTACTGTAGGTATTGACTTGCTAACAATAATATAAATTGTATAATATATTTATAAATGTGGCATAAATTAACATACCGTATTAATACTTGTAGGAAAATAAATTGCTTATATTAATATAAATAAATTATAAAATATCTTTAGAAATATCCATTTCCGCTCAGAAATCGTTTTTCATACAAACATTGATTTACAATTGAATTCAAATTTAACACATCTATTACAGTGACCAATTAACAACCAACAACCTACACTGGCTACACTAAAAACTTATACTACACGAGCATACAGAAGACTGACTTATCCAGTTTTTTCTTATCATTTTCAAATTTTTTCCAAGATTAACAATACCAACAGAATTAATAATAAACCACATTGCTTAACTATAACGCACTGTCATTGAGGTTTTGAAAATTGTTAAGCCAAGTGGTACACACAACTCTATGGCAAAGCAAGTACACACCTAACCACCAATTCTCTTTGCGAGAAATCATTGTCAAATTAGTCCGAATAATAATTGTCCTTGACTCTACGACCGGGAAAGAAAGTCCTCTCTACTCATTGCCGTTTCTCATCCTAACTATCGTCCATCGACGACGAGTATTATGACTTTGATACCAAGTTTATCGTGTTAACCATAATATATCTACTATATATGTCTATAATATGCCCTTGATTATAATTTATAATACGGCTAAATGTGTAGTAAGTAGGTACCTACCTAATTTAGATCCGTTAGAAGCAATAGTGTAGGTATTTTGAAATGTACAAATATTCAACCAATGGAACGATTTAAATTACCTATTTGTAAGGACTCATTAATCAATAATAAAAATATATAGCAACCACTCGATAATTCGTTTTCTTAATGGTCTTTACTTTCGGCTGTTCTCCTACCTATTTAAGTACACTGTAATTTTAAATTAGACTTATTGTAGGTAAACAGTGTCAAGACTTATTTTCAATATACAACTTTTTTATTCCGATTTTTATAAAACCCGAATTATTACTCTATAATAGTCTATGTGTATTAATAAAAATTCGATTGTATTATTATCATAATTCATAACTTAAATATACTTTGGAATAGTACAAATGTTGATATGAAAAATAGCATATTAACTAAGTATAAAACCACATGCGGAAGGTTACAAATTGATTGCTCAAATTAATTTGGGAAAAACCATGTGTAGGTAGGAATAATTTGGTTATGGATTAGGTTTTTATATAATACTATTGGATCTAGTTAGAAATAGCATTTACACGAGCATAACGTAACATCGTAAAGGAATTCGACGCTGTGAGTGAAGACCAGTTTTACGCGAGTACATAAGACGCATTCCGTATGTCTTAGCGTCCATCCGTTTTGAAGTTGAAGTGCCCAGCAATCCGTGACCATTATTATTATTATTGTTACTCTCTCTCTCTCCCGTCGAGTCTTCTCGGCGTTCGTTCTCTTTTCTTTCCTTTATTTTTTTTTTTAACCGGTTTTAATTGTTTTTGCCCCCACGCAGACGATACTTTTCAAATACAAGACTGGCTGCGGTCAAACGGCAACCATGACCGAGGTTACCCGGAGTTTGATTACCACCATAGGATCCGCCCTCTTTCACCAGTTAAGAGGCACCGGATCTCCACTATTACCGACGGGAGAGTACCGGACCGTCGGAGACAGCTCAAGTCAATGGAATCGCTGTTGGGATTGAGCGATGAAAACTTAAATGGCAAACATCTGGTACGTGAAATATAAGTGCAATACCGGATACAGTGTATCATTATGTAACAATATTTCAAAGAGGAAAACAAATATGATAACACTAAAATTATTTTAAAACCGTACCTACACAATATGTGGCTAGATACACTAAATAATACAGCTTACACTCCATAAGATGATTAATTAGGCATGCTCGTCCCCATCATATTTTCCTTTACTAGTAAATTGATTAAAATTCTGATTTTTGGAATTTTCAAATATACTTAGCATTTTTTTTATTAACTCTTGATTTTTTTGTGCTGCAGTTTAAGGAGAAGAGTATCCTATGACGATGTGCAAACTTCTGTTTTCCAAATTAGAAGCTCCATTTTTACTGTAATTTTATAGCTGATACCGTAACTATTGAGCATTCTTCTCGCTTCACTAATCTTGCTGAGCATAACTCATGTTGGTATAATTTAATTAAAAATTTGAACGTAATAATGATGGTAAATCAACGCATTCTATTCAATTATTAAGTGGAAATTGGTTCAATTACCTATATAATGTTTGTGGAACGTCATATTTTTAAAATAATTATCACTCATAAAAACATAATTTATTAAATGTTTAAACGAATTATAAGGTTTATGTATTGTATGGTAATTAATATGAATGAATATATACGTATAACTTTATCTTTAAATGTTAAATCTTCATTTTTAAAACTACAAATTAAATTGCAAAATCGCTCAATCTTAAAAATTTTAAATAGGTAGGTATTAATAATATTCACTGTAGTTCAAAATTACACTAATAAATTAATGTAGAAAATAAAATAATGTACTTATATAACTTGTAAGTTTATAAACTGGTATTATATTTCAGGTATTTGAAGTACATTTTATTACCATAAAATAGATATAAAACTATCAATTATTATAAAATTGTGGTTGGTAAATTAAAAATAATTTGACTTCTTCGTAAATACCTCATCTTTACGAGTAACTGATGAATAAACCTTAGTAAAAAAATAACGCAATATATGACTCATAAATTATAATAAAATGCATAGATAACAAAAAAATATAGATCAAATTTCTATGCTAATAGTTAATGACACTTCAATGTTTTGGAGAACTCATTTCAAACAAAACAAAATACGTTTAAAAAAAAGACGAAATACGTTTAAAAAAATCACAACCTTGATTAACCGATATACTTTTTCTTTCAATCGAACAGATTCTTTAAGCTTATTATGTGTGAGTATGATTGTGTAATTCAAATTTTCAGTTTCTATGTTACCATTACTTTTTACGTATTTTATTTATAATATATTATGGTCAATTTATTCGGTGAAGTATAATAATAAAGTTTTGTTAACTTGAAAATTGATTTGGGTTTTTTTTCACAATCAATTAAGTGTGAGGCGTGAAGTTAAAAAATAATATTTTTAAACACGTACGGTAAAATACAATAAATCTCCACTCAATGTAATATATGCTGCATGAAACATTATTAATTTGAATAATTTCACTGCAAATTTTAGTATTAAAACTGTAAGCACTCAGAATCTACATTATTGCAATAGAAATTTGAATAGTGTTATTTACCTATCTAACTTTTAGTTAACAATTAATGTTAATGTATTAAGTTTAACCAATATGATATTTTTGAAATACTTATTTTTAATAATGTTTAATGCAGATTCCTATAAATAATTGAACTACAAATTGATTTACAATTGTATCTATTTCATTTAAACTGAAGTTATTATTTTCTAACAATTTAAATTGCACGAATTAAAGCTGTGTACAGCAGTTGGTCAATAAAATCAATTGCAATTATTAAAGATATCATTATTTTTTATAGACTTAAACAATTTGTTTTCACTAGAATTTTGTTTAAAATGATATGACGCACATCTAATACTTACGTATAAAAATAAATATTTATCTAGTATAATTGTTTTGCTAAGAATTCCGAGGCTGTTACGAGAGCGTCCCCGGATGTGCAGGACTCTTTGGATAGGGCTTTAATGGACTTTGAAGAGACCCTTGAGTTGGCGTTTCAGTCAAACTCTATTGTTCCGCCACCTAGAGGATTTTCCAATCAAAACTTGGGTATGTAGGAATACTGCAGGATCAAATATCCGTGAAGCAATTTGTTATTGGAAATTTGAATTTTAGTTGAAGGTGATGAATCGAATTTCAATAAGCTTGACAGTAGCTTTGAGAGCAATACAACTGGCAGTAGTGGTTATTCTACCAAGCCTGATCAATCCATGCATCGGTCACTAAACACTTATAACGAGCTCCAAGTAAATTTGTGTTTACGAATTTATTACGCATTTGTACGTAATAATACTAATATGACTTTAAAATCACGGTGTTCACAGCTCATCAGGGAACAAATGGTGAAGAGCTTGGAGATTATTAAGGATTTAGAAGAACAAGTTAAACTGGTGCCAGTGCTTAAGGTAACATCTATAATTAATTCTATAATTACCATAAATACATTTTTATTACGTGTTAATACTAAAATTAGCCGAAGTTAACACAGTAGACGTGTTAACAAGTAGAACAAATCGATGACGGTTTTGTTTCGTGTCGTTGAAAAACAAAGGTCTCCGATTGCATGTATAGGGATACAATTTCAAATACAGCGTATTTCTAGCGTGATATACTTCGTGAGCGCTATCTTAAAACGATTCCACACTGTCAAACAAAATTATTTTTAATTGACACATTTGTTAAAGAAAAAACACTCCAATCTGTACGCGACTATTGATCAAAGTAATTGGATATTTCGTGTTGAGAAGTAATTTCAATAAATGTTGTACGTAAACAACTTCAAATATTATATTTCTAACGTGTCGAGCATAAAATATAGTAATCATAATATGACATTTAATGATTATGGCGAGACTCGTTCACTGTTAGAACAGCTTAATTTTTTCACTCGCATATTATCATAAGTCATTTTATTTTTGATTCTAAGAGGTGCGTATATTTTACATTTCTGTGTAGGTGATTGCCATAAGGAAATAGATACAATAAACATAATGGAATATTTAACATTGTGATTGTTTTTGTGTGTGTAAAACAGGCGCAGGTTTCCTCGTTGAATTTGGAGAAACAGCGCTTATCCTCCGAATTAGACAAACACAAAAAAATGGAGAACACAAATAAGTATGCAACAGGTAAGTGTTTTCGCACAAATATACCTTTTAAGTAACTAGATGGGTTAGGTTTGGATTTGCATGGCAAAGTTGTACTGCACATACCGAAATTACTATACCTACGCAATTTGAATAGCATTTTACATATCGAAGGTCGTCCTAATATAATAGTATAATATCACCGGATGCAATTACGCTCCCCACACAAGATTAATGTTAACAATAAAATATATTTATAAATACGTTTCCAATAAAAAAACATCATATCTTATGATTATTATTATTAATGCATAACTCTTTTCGTACCTACTTATACATTTTATTTTGGATATGTTATGTATTAATTTTTCTAAAACTACCGAATCGTATTTTGTTTGTTGAAATTAATTTAGACTTAAGTGTTAACATGTTTGCTACGAAAAAATCAATAAAAAATAACTATAGATCTACGTAGATACCTAATAAAAAAAGTTATTTTAGTTTTTACTTGATAGGTCGAACATTTACCTTAGTTATTTTATTTTAAGACTTGGAAATGAGATATTTAATAACTCTATAGCTGAGTTACTCAGCCACACCATATAGTATATTGTACTATGCCTATTGTAGTATACTGTAGTCTATAGAGTATATGTACACGATTTTTATTAATGTGTATATAATATAGGTATATATTAATAATTAAGTCTTGATAGCTGATGAACATTTATTATTAATACCTGACACATGTTATTGATGATATTATAGTTATGGCCTTATTATTGAAAAAAATTAAATTTAACATTACGGAGCATAAGGAAGAAAATGAACATCAATAAATGTACAAATAAGTATCTGTATCTTGATAATGTAATGGAAGAATTTGAAAATATATTTAATAAATAATGATCATAATTTATTATAGATACCCATATAGTTGATAACTGATAAATTATTAGTAATAATTATTAATGATTTAAAAGTGTCATATATGTGCATGGGGACATTCAACTAAATAACATACCTACTTTATGGTTGATAGTAAAATATAGATTATGTTTTTTTTATAGCCGAGGATTATTAAAGTCGCAATAACCCAACATAATTTATCAACTGCATAAAATTTAAACACGAATATAAAAAAAAATCGTTTTGTGACTTAATCCGATCGCAACATATTTAGTTTTAATAATAGCTTAAGGCGTATTTATTGAAGTCAACACATTTCCTCTCATTGTACCGAGTATTAGTACATTCTTATTATTTTAATATAATGGTTTTGTAAAGTATAGTTTTATTCAGATTTTTAAGCTTAAAATAATATAATAATAGTACTTATCATTTGTTTATTATATCTTAATACGAAACATCCATACGTTCAGTCTCAAAGATGTAACTTATAACAATGTATAATGTATATGTTTTCACTAAATCAACAGTTTCGTTCGTTTAACTTCTATAGTTAAATTCAATTAACTTCATAAGTTTAATTGATTATATTTATTTTATGTAAGACGTATCAATTAAAATTTAAGCTAATTGATTCTGGGTTGTTTGTCCTACACTGTGTACACTTGATTTTAATGTTACTTTTGTGATTCAATGTTATTAGCAATTGCATTAAACAGCTTTGAAATTGCAGTTACACGACAATTAAAACGATGGCTACGAAAATAAATTTAAAATAAGACGATTAAACTTCATAAAAACAATTTGTTTTAATCATTAAATACCTAAAGAATGTATTAAAATGTATAATTTATTATAATTTAAAATAAAATATTTTATAAAGTGATTTTTATTGTTGTTCATAACTGTGTAAAAGTTGTATTTAAATAATATATAATATAGTGTACCTATAAATATATATACATAATACATTTTAAAAGTACAACATACAAAATTATACTAAAAAAACGGGGTGGGGGAGTTTCAACTTTGCAAATTGGAAAAACTCATATCGTTTGGGAAAATAGAAAATTATCATTTGAGTATATTTGGTTTAATTTGTCGATTGTATTACTCCTAAATTTTCCTTACCAATTGTATTAACACATCGAACTCTTTGTGATTGACTTGTTAAGTATATATAGTTTGTGTACAATAGTTCTTTTGTCAATATAAAATATTAAATTACGTACCTATTGAATGAAATTATAATTATATTTAAAAATTTTAATTTGATTGTTACAATACAAAACAAAACATTTTTTATCATAATGAAAACATAATATACTTTAGGTACACAAATCATAATCATAAATATATACTATTTACAAATAAATAATAATATATATGTAATGTTATTTGGTTTCCTATTTTCGATGTCTTAAAATGTTGCTCATCTATATAATATTGTAGACAATTATTCTGAAATTCTGAGATTTTTTTTCAATTATTTCACCTTAATATTGTACTCATATAGCCATATAGTCCAATTATTATTGAGTTTACGCTGATAATTATTTATGTTTATTTAGATAAATATAGATAATATAATAATAGAGATAATAAATGGAGACAAAATCAGATTTTGAATTTTGTCGCGATGTATAATATTGAAACTTGCAGACGTTCATATTTTCAAGGTTCGGTAAATATGCTTAGAAATAAGTATAATACAAAACAAAACTATACAAATATGAAATAACAAAATATAAAATGTACTTAGATACTTATTTCATTATAATGTTACGTGGATATGTACTTACACCATTATATCATTTATCACAACCATTATTTACAATTGTCATCTTTTTTTCTCGAAATGTTATATTAGGCTATCTGTTATAAGTTTGAATAATAATTTTATTTTATGATAGTAAATAAAATAAATCAATGCTAATGAAAACAGAGAGAAGAATCACAGTGAGGATATATACTTCAACTTTAATAATTAACAAATTTATAAATACGCCCATGTCCATTTATGCATACATTGTTAAGCAATATTTTTCAAATATAATTTAAATGTGATATTAAACATTTTGTTTTTCAGCTTATTGTAGTTTTATAAAATACGTGTTTGTATCATTCCCTTTTACCATATACTCATTTAGTCGTTTTTAATCATTGACGCGTGACCTGACGAATTCCTAGTATAAATATTGTATTCATCATAATTACATTTTTGTTATTCATACTTTTGAATTATGTTATTATTATAACACGAATGATGGGCTGGCTTTCTATTTTCACGGGAAACAATTGGAAGCGACAAAATAGTTTTGAACATCATGGTGTATTGTAAGCTTTAACTAATAATTACTTCATATTTTAACAGTATAATAGGTACCTATCTACATTTATACACGATATAATATATTTTGTATTTAGACATATGAGTATTCTGAACACCGGAATACCGGAGTATCGATTGATATTATTTAGATTTCTACCACACAAGCGTTGTGATGACTGTTATTTTTGCACACTATGAAATTGATAGGTCATTTTTTTTTATTACTTATACATTTTTTTTGCGAATAATCCTGTTTTGATTTACGCGGTTTACAACCGGTAAGCCGGATGCTGCGGATAACAGGAATGGTGTGTATGAGATCGCGGCGGCATAGGCAGGGAACAAGTACATCGATCACGTCATATTATATTAATGGTACAAATTATAATATACCTACTCAATAGTCAATACTCACATAATATAATATCTATACTGTACAAGTCGATCAATATTCTCGTGCATAAAAACATTTACGTCTTATAACATTTTACTGTTTTCGGCGAACGATATTGTATTTTTATTTAAATTTCAGCTACTCGTAAATTATTAGTTGAAATTTGAACTTGAAAGTTTAAAAAAAAAATAGTGCATTTATGTTTTTGAGATTTTTAGGTGTCCGTGAGAATAACTTATGAGAAATCCAACATTAAATTATCAAGCTTTCAATATAAAAATTGAACATTTTTTATTGCAAAATAATATTATTCAAATTTTTATGATTTTGTGCTTATAAATAAAAATGATCCTAGGTATTTATTGTTATTTAAATTACTATTGGAACAACTTATATGGGATCTTGCATTAGATTCTTAAGATTTTACCAAGCATAAACAATTTTACACTAAAATAAACATTTTTCAAATGTCATTAAATATCTTAAAATTAATCTAAATAATTAGAAAAATTCAATGACTATTATCTACAGAAAATAATAGCTTAAGTTAGATTTGAATATTTCAAGTTTCTCTATGATTAATATTTTTCGAATAATAACAATAAGGTACCTATCCAACAAAAAATGTTAAAAAACATGAAACGTTAGTATACAATTGAATATCCTGCAACATCATTTTAATTTTAACTGCTCATAAAACGTTTTTGTTTCTTTTTGTATTCACCTATAAAAAAATTATATTTTAAATGTTTTTAAATTTGTGTATGATTGATAATACCTATAATAGATGTGTAGAACGAAAGCCAATGAGATAGATAACTACGAAAGCCTAAAAGATCACTTACTGCTGTAATATACCGATATTATGAAATTTGGAATCCAAACTTTAGATGTATGGTAGGTAGGTACCTATGTTTATATAGATTATAGATAGGTTTATAATAAAACAGTATAATTACTGTGAAATTTAAACGGGCTCGATGGTCGTCGGGTCGATGGTTTTCGAAAACGGGCGGACGGAACGATCGTATAGTCTACACAATATCTATGGTACAACGAGAGCGGTGAGGGGGGGGGGAAGCTGCACGCATACGGATCACGCGTCCTCTGCAGAGCACGAACGTCGCAGCACATATAATGGTGGTGGGCAAGATGACTATAAATAATTAACACGGGACGAAGCACAACGTGTCTCGGGACTACGATCCGAGTATGGTTATATATATTTTTTTTCCGATTTTTCAGTATACACATGTAAACACGCAGAATCGCATTAACCGTTTGAGGACAAACGAATAGGTCGCAGCGGTTTGTGTGTGTGTGTGTGTGTGTTACTGCGTTTTAAAACAATTAAAAAAAGTTCGACGTATACACTACAGACAATAACTCATCATGATCTCGCAGTGAAATATTATAGAAAATAATGTACCAAGTCCTTGGAAATCTTTTTATACGATTAGACTACATTTTTACATGCCTTTGAAAATATATAGTGTGTTATGGGTAAAAAGAACTAAGTATATAATAACGATTACCAACAATTCCGAAGAAAGTCACAAACCATACCTATATCATACCCTTGTGTGCAAAATAATAGTATATACTATAATTCACTATTCACCACTTCAAATCGTCCCTCGTGTTTTACTAGTTTAAATTGTTACAATAGGTATAATACGCCGAAGTGCTATAATAAGCCCCTATAGTGTTTTATACATACATAAAATCGGAACTTTTTATCGCCCATAAATTAGTATGTAATTTTTTCGTTATGTTATATTGCAAATTAGTCGATACATTTTTTTTTCACTACATTTTATTGTCAAGTGAAAAAAATCAACCGTGTTTAATATTCATCAACTGTGTAGGTAAAATAATGAAGTGTAAAAATCGCAGAATAGTCTTGAACGATCATGTCGTATTGGCACCTTAACACTTAACTTTATGTCGACTCTCTATGCTTAACTAATATACAGCCTATTTCACACGTTTTTTGTTTTTTTTGCTGACCATAAGGCCTTTTGCAGTTTCTACTAAGCCCCTACATTCGTTACAATCAGTTGTAGTCTATGAATTGTCTACAGCTCGTCGTTTACTATTCTCATTTCTGATTTTACTACCTAAAAATCTTGTAAATAGATACTTCCTCTAGGGCGCTTGCCAGTTGGTTAATTAATCAGTACTATAGTTCCCTCGGTTTGCCATACATGACCCACCCATTCTAGACGCTTGGCTCATAGATAATTTATATTATTCTTCGTTTCTAGTCGGTAGCGGATGGTCTCTTTCGGCGTATCCGGCTAACAAGCGCGTAGCCGTGTCCACCAAAGAGGTGGGTGTCAATTGCGTGCCCATGTGCCGAGACGTGGGAGTGACGACACCGTCGGCCACGTCAGTAAGCACGTCCACAATGACAGAACTGCCTCCGTCCAGGGCTACCGTGCACACCCAGACGGACGCCGTCACCAAGCCGGCCACAGCAGTGGCGCACACCCAGACCAAGGACGCAGTAAAGCCGGCCACAACGGCGGTGCACACCCAGACCAAAGACGACGTAAAGCCGACCACCTCAGTGGTGCATACTCAAACCGCGGCGGTGGCCGACGACCATCCCTCCACCTTAGTGGCGTCGCCGACGGTGGTGGCCGTGACGGCCACAACGACGGCAAACGTCGGCACGCAGTCTTCCAGGCCGGCGGCCATCAGGACGGTCACGGTCGGCGTAACAGCCAGGCCGCGGACGTACGACGCCAGCGTGGCCGCGAAACCGACGCTCAAGCACGTCGGGTGTTCGGCTGACGTAACGACGGACGCGAAACCACCGGTGACGCGCGCCACCCAGACGGACGCCAGAGACGACCGCTACAACCACAACCGCACCACGCAAACGGAAGTCGCGGCTGTTCCGGAAGTCGCAGCCGTCCGGACTAATCCGACGGAAGCCGCTGTCACCCGGGCTAATCCGACGGAATCTACGGTGGCCCGGCCTAATCACGCAACGATCGGCCGACGGAGCAATTCGTTCCATCATTACACCGTGGCCGCAACCGCCGACACGTCGCCGACCACGGTCACGTCCAAGATACCTCGTCTGAAGCCCGTCACTCCTGAACTCAACCGGAAAGTGTTGACGAGACAGGACACGTATACCAAGACCGCGGCTGAGATCTGCACCGACGATCTGCAACAGCAACCATCATCGTCGTCGCCACCGCAGCCGCCACGCGTGACCGATGACGTCAGCAGGTAAGGGAAACCTACGAATAATGTTATCATCATATTTTTGCATTTTACGGTTGACTGACTCGACTCGCGAGTTATAATAATGGTAGTTATAAGGATCGGCATGCATGTGCATTTCTACATAAATGTATTATGTTGATTTAATATTATGTCAAATCTGCATGACCGAGTGTGTTCTGATTTCAAAATGTCACCTTTTTAATTGTCTAAGTGCGTCAAACGTTATATACTGCTGATATGTTTGGTAGGGCCCGACCTCGACCGTAATTTTTACTCTTTTCTTAATTTGCCATATGTGTTTGTTTTTATAAATATTAATTCAAATTCAAATTGATACAAACATTTCTAATCAATTTCTTATATTGAATAACAAAAAACAATATAAACATTTTAAAATGACAAAATTATTGAAAACAATATTATAAATTAAAATCACAAAAACAAATGTTTTGGGTGTAATCTAGACTAGTTTTTTCTTCTTGTGGCGTACCCTGAGGAGTGCAAGCATTGGATATGCAATAAAAAAATCTTTTTTGTTTGGGTCTTACATTTGTTATGGACACATTTGGAAGATACCCGTTAAAAAAGCATAATTGTATTATGACGTAACCTAATTGATGAAGTAAATCGTACTCCACAATTAACATTATTCGGCTCTACCTACTTAATTATTTATGAAAAATATATTCAATTGCCAAACTGCAATATTGTTTAACGATGCATAAATATATCATTCATACCTAGGTGATATAGGTATCCAATAATTCAGCGGACCTAAAATTAAATCAACATTTGTGAATTTTAAAATATAGATAATAATATGCCATAATTAAATCCCGATAAATTATAAACATATAGAGTGTTGTTGCCCAACAATTCCACGCTGCGTGATACCGGTAGCACCGCAAAACCGTCACACTCGTGTATACCCAATAATAATAATATTATATGTACACTGCGACGGCGTACGACGTTGCGGGTCGTTGACAGCTGTTGTGCTGCAGCTGACGGCATATGATAATATTATTATATGGTGTCTGAGGAATAATAATAATAATAATAATCATAAAACAGTCCGGTGCGAAGACTGGACTGTGACTTTTACGCACATACCGGATTCCTAATTCGACGGCGTGCAATATAACCGCAAAGCTGAGCGCAAATTACTCGATTTTATTGTAACTCGAAACAATCACCGCCACTGCAACAGCTTCCACGAAACCGCTGCTGCAACCTGCAGTGGCTATTAACTATTCCGAACACAGGCTGCTTTAACGCGGAGTGTACTCCGAAAAAAAATCGATTTTTTTGGTTAATCGCTCTTGCAGGGGTCATCTCGCGTTAATCGAAAAAACTATTTTTGTAGGTTTTTTTTCATTTCCGTCGTATTCCGTATAATAGATGAACGCAGAACAGTGAATAGAGTGTGACACCATGTATGAATCACAGTTAAAATATTTATTTTCAAACAAAAATAATATGTTGTATATACTCGACCTATACCTTACTATAATATTTGCATATACGTTTGTACGTTGTCGGCAGGCAATCGGTTCAGATGAGGCACCTACATGATACACTAAAATTGTCACATAATATTATTTTAAAATTTAATAATTTCAGATTAGATTTGAATATGGTCTGATTATAATATTTTTTTAGAACCAATTGCGATTCATGAGATTGTTGAAGTGCACTAGTCCATATTATTAATTTTTAATAAATTAAGTATTACTCATAAATCCGAAAATGGATGCGAGAGAAAAAACGCATTTTTAAGTTGATAGTGGCTTAGAGGAATATTACCTCCATAGATTTATTAAGGTACACGTTATTATTTTTGTAACCCGGTATAACCTTGCACTCTTAACAGTTATTGCCCAGTTTAGATTTGTATTGTTTTTTAGTACTCGTTTTATTCGGAGATTAATATCTTTGTATGTACGGAACGTCGCGTACTTATGCTACTGCTAATACCACATAAAAAACCTATAGATATTTAGGTCATAAACCCCATACTTAGGCATTAATATTTGCAGGTACCTGCATCCGTCGTTACGGGCATAACAAGTTTGGGCATACACTCACCAAAAGAGATATATTGATTGATTAAACGTTTCACCAAAATAATGTCTGTGCATAGAAAGTATATTTAAAAATTAAAACTCTATAAAGTATTTTAAAAAAACGGTATTTTATACGTTTTAATAAAATCATTTTTTTAATTGTAAGAATAATTAAGCAACTTTTTACTGGTATCTAAGTCGTGAGTAGATCGGATGCAGCGTAATAGAAACAGTAAAATTAATAAAGTTAAAACTGCGTTGATTTAAATACAGTATGTAAATACCAAAACACTTTAAATAATGTAATTTTTTTTTGGTTATTAATTCATTCAACAAACTGGTAGGTAATACAATATAATAAGTAAGTACATATCCGACTGACTTATACGACTTATTGGATATTCGGTATACCGGTCCGGAGTACCTATTCTTATTATTCCTTGATAAATTATTCATTCAATATAAAGTTAATTATATTTAATACATTTTTTAATGAAGGTTTATTGTATTTATTAAATTATTCAATAATATACTACAGTATTTCAATACTTTATAGTATATTAGGTACCTACTGCAAATAACAGAATTTAATAGTATAGAAATTTTTTGTTGAAAACGTGGAATAGGTCAATATCTCACCTGGTGGAAATGGTGAAAACAGTTTTTGGCAGAAAAAGACGAGGTATGCTATTATGGCTGAAACGGGTAATGGTGAAAAGGGAAAAAAGAACACTTTTGGTGGAAACGGGTATACCTACCGTTGTTACGTTTTCGCCACTTAACATCTGTGTGAATATTTCCAAGGTCTAAATTCAAGTCTCGTAAATGTATCACATTTGCAGCGGTTACTATATAAATTATTGATTTTTACTTAATAATTTAAAGTCTAATTACCGAAATCAAAAATCAAAACAAAAATTAAACCCTACACATATATAAATAATTTGCACTATTCACTGGAGAAGAATTAACATAACGTGCTAATATGCTATATATTATGTACCTACATGTTTCCAAATAAAAAATGACTTGATTGAATCGTCCTGTTCGTCTCAACTCAAAACTATTAAATGAAAAACAAAAATTACAAAATAGATATTTCATTAGCAGATAGGTATCTATACAGTTTCGAAATTAAATTATGTCTCGGGCCATAAAATAGAAACGGACCTTTGTAATTCATTATCCAGTCAGCATAGAAACTTATAAAATATAAGTAGTCGCAGTCGAACGCAAATGCACACATACCAATTACCAATTATGTATAGTTGAAAATGGTTATCTATTGTAATGAATTATTCTCTTAAAAAAACAGTGCGTAATATGTAGGTGTGCACTGTATTTGCTTGCCGAAAGCTGTCAATCTTAATTCACTCGGATAAACTCGCACAAATACATTAATGGGTTGAATTCTAAAATGCATATAGTATGTGGACCGTAAATAACCGTTTCATCCTTGACCCGAAATTTAAATTTACTTCTGTTTCATAGACCGTTCCACAATGTTACACAAATAAGTATCCATGTATCGTGCAGTACGTTTTTACATTTAATCAGGAAACTTTTTTTTTTTTGTAGAGTCTTACTGATATAAATAGTAATCATTGAGCCAAATTATAGTTGCAAAAAAATTGAGGATAATTTTTTATTAATTAATGACCGTCGGGAGCCGGATTATACGACCAAATATCATCGGAAAACCGATCTCTGTTGAGCACCCACAAGTCCAACTATAGGTTTAAATTGTGTTTCTAGCTAACTTCATAATTACACAACAACCTGTAATGTTTACTGACTGCAGATTTATTTAAGATGTACAATTTTAATTTTTTTTAACGTCGTAAGAAATTGCCTTCATTAAACCCCTTAAAAAGCAGTAGCCGACACGTTATTATATTTTTTATTTGAAAACTGAAGGTACTATATAGGTCGATTGGACACTGATTTAAAAAACCTTATTTTCAGAAGTTATAATAAATGCGTGTATCACAATTAATGTTTAACTGTTTTGAAACTTATTTTTCTAGTATTATTTAAATTTAATTCAGAAATGTCTATTAATCGTATGCCGTCGCAGGCGGAACCTATATTATACGAGTAATCAATTTAGACGACCGGCATACTGAGGACTTGTGTCGCAGGGCGGATCGTAGAAGTTGTATTTATATATTTATTATCACTATTAATCTATCTGTGCTCACAGTAGGTATAATTTACTGACATTTTTTTTTATTTTCAACATGAAACATTCTCTTAGCCGATACAGTGCTCGGCATTTAAGTAGGTATGTTATACTAAACGCATAGATATACCTGTTGTATACGGGTATACCTATACCGTGGTAATAATACATGACATTCAAAATTATGGCCCGGATTCAAAGCAAACATCGCAGGTATTCGATTAAAATCGTATTTATCTGCAAGCCGAGTATCCTAATATTTGTGATGTCGTACGATACACGAGTATAATATTATTATGTATAATACTATAATACCTATATGAGAAACTCGGACGATGGATTTACATAATATTACTATGAATAATAAAATCATGCATACTCTTTCGTTTCGGACAAATCTCGTTGTATCGCTTCGATTACACCATAAACATATACGACACGACGTGGGGTTATATACCGCGTGCATGATAATAACACGCGTCGGAATTATTAATTCAAATATTTTTTTGTTCCTCACGGTTCGCGTGTACCCGCGACAATCGAATAACGTGATTTCGATTTCTAGTCAAAAAAAAAAAAATAATAATAATAGTAGTAGAAATAGCGGATGAACCGAATGCTAGCTATCCATTTTGCCTCGTATACAAGATACAGGTCTCCTGATTATCAAACAAACATTTTGGAAATATTTTTTTCAAAAATCGAATTTCGAAAGATTAGTTCGATGTAATTATAAAGTTATAAGTATAGGGGTA